AAAGCACCCCTCTGGCAAGACAGTGATGGAGTGAATGATGATGAAATTTTTTTTTCTCGGGCCACCCTGCCTGACAAGACACGGGGGATGGAAATCTTTAGCTCAAGTACTTTCACACTTCTGAGTGCGTCAGCAGGAGCTATGCAATGTTGTAAGCCAGCAACTGAAGGAGCGATGGGAAATTTTCTCAGAATAGCTCAGTTGCATGCCCATGTGTGTGTGTGTGTGTGTGTGTGTGTGTGTGTGTGTGTGTGTGTGTGTGTGTGTGTGTGTGCGTGTGTGTGTGTGTATGTGTGTACATAATTGCATGCTGTTGTACGTGTGTGCATACGAAACTGACCAGGTAGGTGGTGATGTATGGCAGGATGACAGAACCAAGTTGGCCGAAGACAGAAGCGGCTCCTAGGCCTTGGAGTCGGACCTCTGTAGGGAAGAGTTCTGAGCTGTAGACGTAGATGATTTGGAAGGCTCCGCTGATACACACCTTGCCAGCCAGGGCTAGAGTCACCACCAGCCAAGACAAGCCTGGACCAACAACACAGTGTGTGAGACCAACTTCGTACGGTATGATGTTGTACTCTTAGCTTGAAGAAGAAGAAGAAAAGCAAGGAGAAGGAGGAAGACAAGATGAAGACTTAGTTCGGGTTAGTAACCCACGAGTTTCAGTAATCTAGGGAAGCCCAACACGTGTGCAACACCTGGAAATCATTATCAGAGAAACCTTTCGCCTGCTCAGCAGGCTTTTTTTTTCTATAATATATTGGCATGAGGATGGAGTCATATTATATAATATATATAAATATATATATATATATATATATATATATATATATATAATAGTGTGTATTTTTTGTCAACAAGTCGGCCGTCTCCCACCGAGGCAGGGTGACCCAAAAAAAGAAAGAAAATCCCCAAAAAGAAAATACTTCATCATCATTCAACACTTTCACCACACTCACACGTTATCACTGCTTTTGCAGTGATAATGTGTGAAAAAATATATATATATATATAATATATATATATATATATAAATATATATATATATATATATATAATATTAAAATAATATTTTATATATATTATATATATATATATATATATATATATATATATATATATATATTATTATATAATTAATACTTTTAATGTAAATGATATCTTGTTTGAGAGAGCAACACCTAGGAATCTTAGCGCAGAGGTTATCTTTCTTCAGCTCTGTTGCTAATCTCTGAACCATTTTTAGAGTCTGACTTACTTCCACTAGTGGGATCCTGCCCATATATGATGTCTTCAACTGCTGTACCTCTGCTCTGGCTAGAGTAAAAATGTCTCAATCCTTATCCCTCTGCATTATATTGAAAAAGGCCTGATGTGCAGGTGAAAAGTCTCTCCAGTGAAGATATCTATGTAACACATATGCCACTTATTCATTAACTTGTCGGTACTGTATAATAGCCAAGCATTGTGGCTTATTTGCATTGGCAAATAAGCCTTTAGGCAAGTTAGACTTCCCTAAATTCTTAGTAATATTCTTTTAGAATAATCATACAATCTCACCAGAAGGAATGAAGGTAAGTGTTAGGAGGAGGATGCCACAGATAATGAAACTAAGGGCAGTGGGCACTCTCCTGCCCCAGCGGTCGATGATTGGGCCATTGATAGTGTACCCTGGCACCTCCATCAGTCCCCCCAGCACGATGTAGAGGAAGGGATCGGCACTGTAATTGTCACCGCTCAGGTTAAGTCCGTCGAACACCAACGAGGCAGCGAAGTTGTCCAAGCAAACAATTACGGTGACCACGGTGATGACACGGTTACTAGGGCAGATGAAAATAATAATAATAATAATAATAATAATAATAATAATAATAATAATAATAATAATAATAATAATATTTTTATTATTATTATCACACTGGCCGATTCCCACCAAGGCAGGGTGGCCCGAAAAAGAAAAACTTTCACCATCATTCACTCCATCACTGTCTTGCCAGAAGGGTGCTCTACACTACAGTTTTAAACTGCAACATTAACACCCCTCCTTCAGAGTGCAGGCACTGTACTTCCCATCTCCAGGACTCAAGTCCGACCTGCCGGTTTCCCTGAACCCCTTCATAAATGTTACCCTGCTCACACTCCAACAGCACGTCAAATATTAAAAACCATTCGTCCCCCATTCACTCCTATCAAACACGCTCACGCACGCCTGCTGGAAGTCCAAGCCCCTCGCAACAAAAACCTCCTTTACCCCCTCCCTCCAACCTTTCCTAGGCCCCACCCCTACCCCGCCTTCCTTCCACTACAGATTGATACACTCTTGAAGTCATTCTGTTTCGCTCCATTCTCTCTACATGTCCGAACCACCTCAACAACCCTTCCTCAGCCCTCTGGACAACAGTTTTGGTAATCCCGCACCTCCTCCTAACTTCCAAAACTACGAATTCTCTGCATTATATTCACACCCCACATGCCCTCAGACATGACATCTCCACTGCCTCCAGCCTTCTCCTCGCTGAAACATCCATCACCCATGCTTCACACCCATATAAGAGTGTTGGTAAAACTATACTCTCATACATTCCCCTCTTTGCCTCCAATGACAAAGTTCTTTGTTTCCACAGACTCCTAAGTGCACCACTCACCCTTTTCCCCTCATCAATTCTATGATTCACCTCATCCTTCATAGACCCATCCGCTGACACGTCCACTCCCAAATATCTGAATACATTCACCTCCTCCATACTCTCTCCCTCCAATCTGATATCCAATCTTTCATCACCTAATATTTTCGTTATCCTCATAACCTCACTCTTTCCTGTATTCACTTTTAATTTTCTTTTGCACACCCTACCAAATTCATCCACCAATCTCTGCAACTTCTCTTCAGAATCTCCCAAGAGCACAGTGTCATCAGCAAAGAGCAGCTGTGACAACTCCCACTTTGTGTGTGATTCTTTATCTTTTAACTCCACGCCTCTTGTCAAGACCCTCGCATTTACTTCTCTTACAACCCCATCTATAAATATATTAAACAACGACGGTGACATCACACATCCTTGTCTAAGGCCTACTTTTACTGGCAAATAATTTCCCTCTTTCCTATGTACTCTAACTTGAGCCTCACTATCCTCGTAAAAACTCTTCACTGCTTTCAGTAACCTACCTCCTACACCATACACCTGCAACATCTGCCACATTCCCCCCTATCCACCCTGTCATACGCCTTTTCACAAATCATAACTGCCACAAAGACCTCTTTAGCCTTATCTAAATACTGTTCACTTATATGTTTCACTGTAAACACCTGGTCCACACACCCCCTACCTTTCCTAAAGCCTCCTTGTTCATCTGCTATCCTATTCTCAGTCTTACTTTTAATTCTTTCAATAACAACTCTACCATACACTTTACCAGGTATACTCAACAGACTTATCCCCCTATAATTTTTGCACTCTCTTTTGTCCCCTTTGCCTTTAAAACGAAGGAACTATGCATGCTCTCTGCCAATCCCTAGGTACCTTACCCCCTTCCATACATTTATTAAATACATTGCACCAACCACCCCCAAAACTATATCCCCACCTGCTTTTTAACATTTCTATCTTTATCCCATCAATCCCGGCTGCCTTACCCCCTTTCATTTTACCTACTGCCTCACGAACTTCCCCACACTCACAACTGGCTCTTCCTCACTCCTACAAGATGTTATTCCTCCTTGCCCTATACACAAATCACAGCTTCCCTATCTTCATCAACATTTAACAATTCCTCAAAATAATACTACTACTACTACTACTACTACTAATAATAATAATAATAGTAACAATAAAAAATAATAATAATAATAAAATTTTTAATTTTTATTATTATTATTTATTATTATTATTATTATTATATTATTATTTGTTATTATTATTATTATTATTATTTTTTTTTTATTTTTATTATAAAATTATCATTATTATTATTATTATCATTATTTTATATTATTATTATTATTATTATTATTTATTATTATTATTATTATTATTATTATTTGTTGTTGTTATTCAAGTCTTCGCAGTACACTAACAAAGAATGGAACCTTGGAGAATGAGATTACAGAAATAACACTGCCTCACCTGAGCACACCTGGCAGACTCAGGAACCTGGAGAGTTTCTTGAATAACTTCTCAGAACCTTCCTGGACTGTCTCCCTCGCCTTGGCTGCCGCCACCGACTATTGATAAAACGATGCAAATATTATATGCCACATGAAAAAAAAATTGCGAAGAGAAAATTTCTGTTTTTTTGACGTGTTCGGTGATCACTTAGAAAATTTTGTGTTTCTCATGGTGTATACTGTGGACATTCAGATTTTTTTATATTTCATAAAAAATTTTATATTTTTATAAAAACAAAAATTTATAAAAAAATATCTTATAATTTTTTAACAATTTTTTTTGAAATTCCCAATTTTTTAAATGTAATTTTGTATTTAAAAATACATTAAAATTTTGGGGTAAAAGTTCCTAAATTTATAGATTTCGAGAGGGGGGGCCATTGTATCACACATTTAAAGGGGGCATTAACCCGCCTGGTGGTCAGAAACCCGGCTAAGACGAGCGGGCAGGAAAGGAGGGTCGAGCCCCTCACTTCAAAAAAAATTAGACAATTTAAAAAATTTGATACCCCCGAGATGTGTTTTTAACGCTGTCCCCCGAGGGGGGGGGGGGGTTCTTTTTGGGGTCCCCGGTAAATGAAACTTCCCCTTCCCCCCCCCCCTTGGAAACGGACATAATACCTTTTGTTTCCGAGGAAATGGGGTAAAAATCCTAGGGGTTTTGCTTTTTTTTTTCAAAAAATTAATTTTTATAAAAACCAAAAATTGGAAAAAAAAGGAAACATTTTGATGGTGAAAAATCGATCCTCCTGTTCAATAAAAAGTTAAAGGGGTTGGGGCCTTGTATTTAATGCATAAATAATAATAAAACTAATAAATCCTCAGTTTCACTCCC